CCCCCTCCAAAGCTGCCCCCTCCAAAGCTGCCCCCTCCAAAGCTGCCTCCTCCATAGCCCCCACCACCACAGCTGCTGGCTCCATAAACTCCACCAAAGCTGCCTCCGCCCAAACCTCCCATTCCTCCACCAAAGCTACCAGATGAGCCACCCCCAAAGCAGCCTCCACTCGAGCTCCCACGGCTAAAGGAACCTCCACCACACCCTCCGGAGCTAAATCCTCCACCGAGGGAGCCTTTGCTGCTTGAAATTCTGCATGATCCTCCTCCACCTCCACCTCCACTTCGGGAGGAAGAGAATTGCCTGCTCGAGCTGTAACGAGTAGACATTGTTAAACTCGCTTTGGGAGCACCTGCTACCACGGACAGTGGCAGGCCCTTATATACTGAGAGGGAGTGTCCCACATTGTCAGAGTTTGCTTACTTGCTTGGTTTCTTTTTGCCAATTTAGCATCTTTGGCTTATGATTGCATAAATTACCTTCAGTAATAACCAAACCCAATAGGTAGAGTTTTGAATTTGACTTGGGAACAAACAGGATTTTTGCTATGTTGAAATTGAAAAGGGGTGTAGTTCAGATGAGCATATGCTCCAGTTTGCTTTTTCACTGATTGGAGAATATTGGGCAACTGTTAAAATCTATTTTTCGGCACCAGTCTATATTTGATGGAAAGTTTGCAAAGTTTGGAAAAAGAATTTTAACTGCAAAATTATAGTTAATATCTCTTTGAAATTCACACTTTAACCAGTTTTAATTAGTTGGAACAACACTTAACCATAGTCTCTGAGAGCCATACCAAAATAGGGTGTCATAGAAAATGAAAGCAAACAGAAAGAAAAAATTATAAGCATATGCTAAGTAGTTTAATTAATGTTCAGAAGCTTCACACACAAAATGTTAAAGCCATAAAAGCACAATTTAGGATGTGTGTGTTTACAAGGAATATTTTCATCTCTGAAAATATGAAAGATGAAAATATGAAGAAATTTATGAAAACATGAAAAATGAAAGTATAAGGATACATTGCCCAGGAAACTGGAAGTGAGTAATGACTTAGGAATTTTTTAATTTAATTGTGCTTTTAACATTAAAAAATCTAAAATCATAAAACTACCCTGGTATACTTTTTCATTTTTAAACTTACTATAAATTTGATAAGTTATACTTATTGTAGTGAAATTTATGAAAATAATTATGGAGAAATTTATAGCACAAGATAAGAACTAACCTCCATTACAATTTTTTTTTTTTACAGGGTTTGCTTGATTGAAAAGGGAGAATTTAGTTGTGGTATGATTGTGAGTAAAACTTTTCTTGTAAGAATATAAATCCATGTTAGAAAGTGGTACTTGCTCCAAAAAGTAGGAACTAAATTGTGAATGTGTGTCCAACTAGATTATGTTTATCAGAATTTGGTACTACAGTCTATCTAGGAAAGTTCTTAATTGGAACTTTAATACATGATATAAAATTATTTTGCATCTACCCATAGACAATGACATTGCTTTTGTTAAAAATATATTTACATATTTATCCTGTCTCTGTATATTCACTTTATTATACAGTCATATAGTGCAATTTTTGCTGTCATGATAATCTCTGAAACAAGTTCCTGGGATTGGGATAGTGGTTATTATTTCAGTTTATAGGAGAGAAAGTTAAAGTTGAGAGGGTTTATGATTGTGCCTGGTAGTTGGATTAAAAACTTGGTCTTTTGACACCTGGGTTTTGACTTTCTTGCCATGGCAGTGTATGTTCTCTGCTGTGGCGGATTTGCTCTGATAGAATAGAATGCCTTTATTTCATCCCATAACCTTTTCCACATGGGAAAGCAAAAGAAAAATTCCTTGGAAGTATGAAATTATTGAAAAGGTAGGACACTCTGCTGTTACTAATTGCTTTTTCAAGTAAAGTTTATATCCATACCTCCCAGTTTATGAAAATTGTAGAAGAGTTTCTGCAGGAAAAGAGAATGTGATGGAGAGGATTAATGAAGAATTAGTTGTTAGAGTGGAGGTTACTATCCAACACACTGCAGCTCCTCCAGCTTGTCAGTACATGCAAGTGGGGCAGCAGATAAAAGAAAAAATGAAATGGGTGAGCCATGGGAATTGATCCTTGGCAAAGATAACAGGCAGTGAAGGAAGGCTGTGGTGAATCAGGAGAGAAAAAAAATTCAGTAAGTTCAGAGAGGATGTCGCAGCCTTGGTATTAATGAAAGCAATACGGAAAGAAAGTGTTTCAGGCAAAGAGCAATTTTAATAGATTTTTACCCATAATTATCACAAATTTGGGATTTTGATTTTACCAGTTTTGCTTTAATATTAGCCTTTAACTTTTTCTGCTCATGGGAAAATATAAAAATCTCAATCTAGCTTCAATTAGTAACAAGTGGTGTGAAGAGAGTTGTTATGATTATATGAACTTGAAGAATCATGTGGAAGAAAACCTCTGCATGAAAATACACGGGAACACATCATGTACTGAACTTCTTTGAATATTGATTATGATATTTAATTCAAGCTGCCTTGAATAGTATAATTGAAGACAAATTTAACTTGCATACTCTAGAAATGGATTTGTTTATATTTGCACTATCATTCATGAAAATCAGCTTTTTGGCATGAATCAAATTACAGAGGTGCCGCTTAAACATTCCGTAGCTACACTGGATGAAAACGAAAATTGTCACATGTAGTCTGGGCACCATTTACACAATTGCCATAATATACAGCAACTAATTTCATTGTTTCTGTCTCTGTGAAAGGTGATAGGTGTTTCCAAGATAGAAAGATTCATGAAATTCAGCTGTTTTCCTTGACGATTTTACATTACAGCCTACTTGAGACATAACGATACATTCCAACATAAACTCTCCCTAGATGCTAAAGGAGGTGGGATGGAGCAGGCTGGGGAGGAGTTGGCACACTTCCTCAAGATCTACTATGTTCTAGATGGTTTACTCTCCCTAACATCCCCCTCCTCTCTCTCATCCCCCCCCCCAGCAATAGGTATTATTTGCTTTATATAATAGGTGGAAAAAAAAAACTTTACAAAATATGGGTTTTCCCAGACTAACACAGCCAGTTTCTGCTCCAGCCAGGTTCTGAATCCTGCCAGTATAGGGTAAAAGGTGGTTCTGCACTCATGGCCCTGGACTGCCTCTGGAGACTGATGAGCGAGAGTCTCAGGAGGGGCCGCTGTTGAACGAGGCTACTGACAAAGTCCTGTGGTACAGGGGCGTTAAACTGAAGCTCACGAAGCACGGGCAGGGCTTTCCATGTGGGCCGCAGCAAGGGCTGTTCTGGAAAGGGTTGAGGACTGAACAGGCCAAGCAGGTAGCGACTAAATGGGTCAGTTTGTCTGGAACAGATTATCCACATTTATTAATTTTTAAACAGATTTTACTGAGCATCTGTGATAGAACTTGTGGGCATTTCAAGGTGATTTTTATGCTTCACGCCTGTCAAGGGGCTATAGTCTTTTTGGGGAGACAAACATGAATCAGGGATAATAATACAGGGTAATCTGGGCTACATTTGAAATGTGGACAGGGGCTTACAGGAGTGCAGAGAGTGCTTTGAACAGAGAGAGAGAGGATGTGCGTGCTTGTGTGCATGTGCGCGCATGCGTGCATGCTCAAAATGAGAGAACAGTGAAGTCAGCTTTTGGGAGATGAGTTTGGTTTAAGACAAATGAATTTGAAGCAATGCCACCAGAGTCATAGGTTTATCACTTTTTAAGAGGAAAATTAAAGCAGCAGGATAGTTGGAATCACTAAGGGAAGAAATTTAGAGAGCAGTGAGCAGAATGTCTAAGCTACTTCTGGGGCTGGGAAGAGTAATAGGGAATAAAACTGAGAAGGAGGGCACTTAATGGAGGGGAAAGGATCATGGAAATTTGAGGGGAGGGGGGCACCCAAAGAATAAGGTGGGGGTGATCACTAGAGAAGGGCCCAAGGGAAAGGGAGTTGAAAATGTGGCGTGGCCATTAGGACCCACTGGTGTCCCTCTAGAGGGCAGAGAGTGGTGAAGGAGCTCGATAGTGGCTGCCCAGTCTGCTTTCTTGTTGGCTTTTTATTTTCTTGTAGTTTATAAATTTCTTCTGTAATTGTGTCTGGGCTTTGTGTCATGGTTGGGATGAGGACAGGTCCTATTCCCATGGCTAATTTGGCTGGGACACGTGAACCATGTTGTTGACCCAGCTGTAGTGCCAGCTTGGTTTATCTCACGGTTGGGTTTTAAATTTTCCTATTTCTCCCTCATTTTGTTTCAAATAAAATTCCCTGTTGAATTTAATAGATACGAAGTTCCTCATTGGAAATTCTATCTGCACATTTCTTTCTCTGACTGAGTAGTTGAAATATAGTAAGAAGTCAGGTCATTGAAAATAGACAGTTCTGGTAATGCAGGTTATGTCTCAAGGTGGCAAGGCTGATGAGCTAAATGTTTAGAATTTTCTGTTGTTGATCACGTAAAATTTGAGTGTTCGGCTTTTATTTTTTCACTTGAATGTTCTGAGGCTTTATGCAAATTGCTGATGTGCCTTTCTGGTTATTGCCAATGGAGCAAATCCCAGCTGGAAAGTCGAACCACTGTTGGATAGAATGGCACTTTCTGAGTAACTAAGACAAGTCAAGTATTGATAAAGCCCAGGTCTTCTCATTAGAAAACTTCTAGAAGCCAGGACTTGACATCTGTAGACACTCCCATATTACACAATTCTTATGAAATGTCTGGGCCTTCAGAGTGGAAGCCATAAAATCTCCAAAACTCCTCAGTGTATTGAAGCAACAGGGTGGAATGGGTGGGCTCTGGGTCCAGACTGCTTGTGCCTCGACTTTGTCTCAGTTTCCTCATCTGCAAAGCAAGAGTAGTCACTTTACTTAGGTATAAATTGTAGTGGGAGTGAAATGAGTTAATAAATATTAACCACATAGGACAGTGCCAGGCATATAGGAGTGCTTGATGGTGTTTAGTGGTTATTATTACTGTGATCTCTCCCTCAGTCTATGCCACAATCTCACCCACAAGACTAGCAAAGATGAGGGAAGGAAAGGACAAGGTTGAAGCTGGACTATGACCAGTGAGGAGAAATAGGCAGAAGACTAGCAGATTCTTTTTCATTTTGTGAAAACTGGTGTCATCTATTTTTCTCGGAATATTATTTGCTTTCATTTTTACCTTCTTTTTTTTTTAATCTCCTGTATCCACCAAGTTACCATTTTTGCCACATTTTCTTTTGCCTTATGATTTTTTTTCTTGTTTTTTTTTTTTGTCCAGTACCACAGTAACTACCCTCAGGCATGCTTTCACCCCCTCTCTCAAGGCT